CCGCGTTGTTGCTCCCCAGACCGTCAGTGCGTTGCCCCCCTCCTCGTCGCCCCACCACCTTTCCCCTGCTGCTGAACCATGCACGAGTTGTGTAGTCGCTGGAACGGCGTCAAAATTCGAAGCGCTCCAAAAGTTCAAAAGTGGGGAGTGAACCTTGCCAGCTGTTGTGGTTAGGTTCGCCCCCTGTTGTTTTAATGGGAGTGAAACTCAGCATCCCATTTGAAAGCGGTAACTCATCCAAACGTGGGGCGTTGTTCAGCCGCCAAGAGGCAAGAGCAGCATGTAAAAAATTTGATAGAAGGTTCCTGCCTTTTTTCCAGGAGGACCTCAACCTTTTTTTTTTTTCCAGGCAGTCCGACGGCCCGACGACGGGACTTGATATTTCGTGCGTGCACCTTGGACGTTTTTAGGCAGGTGGACATGTCGTGCAAGAATTGGGGGGGGGGGGTCCTCATGGGTTGTCCTGGGTCTGTGGGTCGGGTGACCCAGGCTTMGCACTCACCCACCTGTCACCCACCCACTCGGGTGACCCAGGCCTAATGTTGACCCACCTGTCACCCACCCAGGCTACCTGGCCTTGACCCGCCCTCATCCCACCCAGGTCACCTTATCAAGACCCGCACCTGACCCAATGTCCTCGTGGGTGGGGTGGGTGCAGGTGGGTGCGGGTCTGGGTACCCGGTGCTCATCTCTGCCCATGAATGACGGCACGTGAAAGGAGCTCATGCACAATACTTCTCCACACTCTGAGCAGCGAAATTACTTCACTGATAGAAAAAAACTAACTCTCACACCCCGTCGCGCCCCACCTCCTGCACAAAACAAGGATGACGGGATCCAAACAAACCACGGGCAGAAGGCATCCATCGACATAAACTCTCCTTATTTTCTGTATGCTTCTCAATTGACTGCCGTCTCGCTATCTGCGGCCTTGAGGAAGTCTTTTTTTTTTTTTACCGAATTTGTGTTCGATAGACTCCGCTGTTCTTCTTCCGGATCACCCCCAGGACAAAAATCATAAGATCAGGTGAGTTATACTTTGTCATGGGCATCTATATAAATGCTTGATGACAAAGAGGAGCGTGTGATTGGAGGGGAACACGCTTGTTCGTGTTCGATTATTATTTGGGTAAAGGACGGGACTCAGATTCGCTGTGGTGAGTTCGGGAACCGGTGGGAGGCAATCTTCAGCACTAACTTCACTTCCCAACGCTGCAAGATTCGCCTCACCGATCACCAGATGTAGCAAAAATAGGAATGAATCTTCCTCTACGACAGGGAAAGATGCACCGTGGCCGTAGTTTTTGTGTTTTGTGCATTTGATGAGTACTACTGAGTAGTGCAGCGAGGCCCTGCTGCACGTCTTCTAGTGCCTACCGTCTTCCCCCGACTACAACGTGCGCAACCCTCGACCTTTTTTTTTCCCTCCCACCTCATGACTACATGAGACTGGCGGGGAGAACTTTTATGCAGTGTTGATCACGGTTCGATGTGTTATTACTGACACAGTCACTTGTCCGTCCACCTCCTCCTAACACGTGACGCCGGTGAAGGCAGAAGACTACCGTTGGAAATATTAATCCCCTGGACCTTTCTCAGTAGTGGCGTGTAGCTGTTTCCAGCCGAAGCCAGGTAATGGCCCCTGTATTCCCAAATTGTACCTCAGTCTGTTCTCAACGTTCATGTATATGGGGCGCTGGGTCCGGTCGGTTCCCAGCACGTGCTGCTCCGCACGAATAGATTGGAGACATGTTTATAAAAAAAAAAAGATAGGTTGGCATCGTACTACGCGACCACCTGGCCTAGCTCAGTTCGTACACCCATGAACTGTTGACACACAGACCTGAGTTCGAATCTGGATGCAACGATTGAACAAAATAAGTCACCGTACTACGCAGTGATGATTCTGATGAATGGTTTCTGTCGTTACGTCCGTAAAAGGGTATGGTGATTGGTGTTATGAGCTCTTGGCTGTAAGTGCGCGTTCCCTGAGCAATGTTGTGCCTGTGACGTCACGTGAGGTCAGGGTGTATCAGTTATGTACGACATGGTCTGAAGATTCCCGAGATTCTTCGGCAGATATGATAGTTTATTCGGATGATCAGTACATCGTATGTATGGGTCGGCATGTACTACACCGCTCGCCAAACTCCAACATATTGAACGTATCTGGACTATAATGGGTCCCAATACGTTCCCCGTGTTGGGGTTTGCCGATTATTGCGGCGAGGCCCAATGTACGGATCATCGAAATAAACCTATCTATGTCATTTCTCCAGAAACATACCGGAAACCTTCGTCCCACAAAACTCCCCTGGCTTGGAACGGCAGAAGCTTCGAACTCGCGCACGCAGTGTTTGCTCGTTTACTTTACTAAGTCCAGATTCATTGGTGGAGAAACTAACACGCTTGTTCTGTCATCAAGTCCAGATTCATTGATGGAGAAACCAACACGCTTATTCTGTCATCATAATTTGGTTTCATCCTGAGATATCACTCACAATCTGATAGATGTGCGCTATGTCAGTGTATTCAAAATGCGGGTTTCCMCCCCCGCCTCCCCCCCCCTCTCCCCCCTCTCCTGGTTTGAAGGGCGACAGCCTTGAGATATCAGCATCAAACTCAAACGACCCTAGGTAATTGTGAATTCTCTTATTTTACTCATCTGCTTCCAGTGGAGCTCGAACTCAGATCTGCATTTCAACACATCAGGAGTGTACCAACAGTTCAAAAAGCGTATTTCCTGTTGACGTAATCCGTAGAAAAAACACGCATACTTCCTATTAAATTTCATGTTAAGGTGCTATGTGAGTGCGTGGAAAGAGTATCTCCGTCTTCACCCTGGGGAGCGAGACCCTTTGCGTCTGTGAGCGAGGTTAAGCGATCATGGTGAAGGCTAATAGCTCACAGTTGATCCCAGTGCATTAAACCTCGAAAAGGCCACAGAATGGCACAGATCTATTGCCTTCTCTCCACCCGTACTTACGTGGATTAATATTTCTACACCCTCGCATCAGCATTTCCATCGCCCGACTCTTCTCCTCATATCTCACATCCCTCCTCTCTTTTCATTGATAAAAGCAACGTAGCTTATTCTACATCCTTGCGTTATCACTTCCGCGGTCCTCCAAAGACAACAGATTCACGGAGGCCATCTATGCGCAATACAGCGAGGAAGATAGGGTCCATAACCGGGTAAGCAACCGGTCGAAGAGACCATCTGCACGACTCCGTGGTGGAATTGCCAAAAAAGGAAACAAACTTACGTCCTAGAGCGTACATAGAGAGTACTGGCTCATCCGTACGGCGTACGGCTATCACATCAGTGCGTACACAAATTGTGAAATTAGCTCCACCGCTTTTATCATAGGCGACACATCCAAACGGTTTCAACTCGTCCGATACAAAACAAATTTTAACTTCTTCGTACGGTCCGTCTGAAAGAAAAAATAAATCCATTCCCGTAATGATGCGCGTAATCAACAGCCAGAGAGCCGATGCAATTATAGTAATATAACTTATCTTTAGCCGCCGATGATTGTAAAAGGCCAATCCGTTCATCCATCCATCCATCCATTTATGTATCCATCCATCTATGCATCCATCCATGCATCCATCAATGTACCGAAAGTCGTAACGCACACATATAATGCGATCCGAAACACGATCGAAACTAGACATAAACAGGTACAGAGGAGGAAACATGAATTAATTACATAGCAGCAGCATGCGGGAGTACGGATGCATACGGATCTCTGCTCCATGAGAACATTCTGACAAGCTTATGGAATCCCGTCGGCCAAAAGGTTCTTTCACAAAAGAAAAAGAAGCGAAAAAAAAAGGAAAACATGCAGGTAAATGACAACTAAACAGTGCAGGCGCATTCCAGCACTTGGTGCAAGCACAGGAGAAGCAGGAACTATAAAACGCGATCACAGAGACGGCCTATCCTAGCTGAGGTCGTACTCCTGCAGATTCAGTGCAGAAGTAACAAAACAAGCCTATCGGCCACAACCACCAGGCATAAGCGCTCCTCGCCAGATCCTTTTTTAAAAACGACTCTCTCTCTCTCTCTCTCTCTCTCTCTCTCTCTCTCTCTCTCTCTCTCTCTCTCGTTGGTCGCTGCACGCCTCAGTCGCCTGCCTCTCATGCCTTCCGAGAAGACTTTGAGAGGTATCCTCTCAACAGATTGGACGCAAGCGCTTGAGCTCCTCTCATGCCTCGACCGATAAACCGCAGAGCCTGTGACAAAAGAGGAGCATCACGGACGCTGAAAGGGTAGGAGAGTGTGCGACCGACCGGAATACATACGCGTTTGGCCATCGCAAGCGGCAATATATCTTCTCTCCGACAGACCTGCTTATCTGGGCGACAGCTTGCAGCCAGAATCGATTTTTGTAAACCCTGGCGCTGATTGGCTTCATTCTGGTCGTCGCTTCGTTCAAGCTGCTCGAAGAGCGACCTGAGATCTTCCTCTCGTTTTCTATACTCGAGTGAATCGACGGACGTGGTTGCGTTACTCTTAAGCCAAGTGGTCAGTTGATCCAACTGCTCTTCAGCTCTCGATCTTCCCCATCTATCTGACAGCCATTGTCCCACCATCTGTTCAGATTGGTAGACGTACGCTTCGAGAGAGTGTCGAGCCGCTGATCTCTCCGACAGATCTCGTTCCAACTGCTTGTACCGTCGATTATCATGGTCGATCTCCTCCATCTGTGCTTTGCTGAGTCCCAACCACGGCTTCTGGACTCGAACGTCAAGTTCAAACTTACGCTTCTTGTTCACCCACGTGTCGTGCTGCACCTGCCGGACACGTGGGAGGACCCTACACGACAATGGCAACGAAATGGACGGTTCTGGACTGAACTCGAAGACACCGTCGTTGTCGACACGTACACTGAGAATCGCATGTTGCTCGACAGGCGGGGACCGAGCTGAGGCAGACAGAAGCTTGACCGAGGGACGGATGTCGCGCTGCCGCACGCACGCACTGCGGCCATCGTCATCTGCATGGGTAGGACAACTGCGCTGTGAGCTCATCGGCTTCAACATGAGGAAGTCTCCATCGGAACAATGAAAGCGTTGGTTACATGGCATAACCATTCTCCTTGTATGTATGGTGCTCCTGACCCAACCATTGCTATCACACACTTCGAGATCGAACGGCGGTACGTCAGCGATCACTGACGTTCTCAGACGCAGCCACGCGGCACACGCAGCGTCCACGACGGCGTTACTCCTGTCAGGTTTATCCCGGCAGTGAGCGTGCAGGGTTGCCGCGTGTATGGATGCTCCCTGGACGACAATCTCGTCCGGGTGCGTCTTCTGCCGTTTCCCAGAGACCAGTCGCCGTAGAAGAGCAGCAATCATAGGCATGCGTGTAGACCCGCCAATCATCACCACCTCAGCGATGTCGCTCGCGCGTACCATGGAGTCTGTCAGTACATTTCTCACGCACCCATGCATTCTCCGAATGAGATCGATGGTCGATTCCTCGAACTCCTTCCTTGTCACCATAGCCATGAAATCTATCCTCCCTCCATCGACGCCCGATCTAAACTCGAGCTCGACCGGAACGTTGGTCAGCATGGAAAGCTTTTCCTTGGCTTGCACACACGCGCTCCTAAGTCTCCACCGATCACGAGGAGCCAGCCGCGATGCATCGATGCCATGCTGTTGTTGCAGCTTCCCTTCTACGATCTTCATCATCCGTACGTCGAAGTCCATTCCCCCCAGATTGACGTCACCCGAAACTGCCAAGACTTTGATCATCTCAGTACCTGCCGGTGTCTTCTCTGCACCACCACACAGGTCTAAGGCAATGACAGACACATCGAAGGCGCCACCCCCTAGATGGAAGACCATCAGCTTCTTCTGGAGACCGATTGCCGAGCTGCCTTCTCCATTCATCCTTCCATCACTCTCCGAGGAACTCGAAACGACAGCAGACGGTACTCCATGCATCTTCAGGAGAGCTTCGTAAGCGTAGTGTACAGTCGCTGCCACGTGTTCGCTCGTTAGACGTAGTACTTTCAAGCCCGCTATCCTCGCTGCATCTTTGGTGGCCTGCCTCTGCGAGTTGCTGAAGCATGCTGGGACGGTTATAACTGCGCTCAACTCCATCGCCTCCATTCGCAAATGCTGCTCTGCTTGTTTCTTGATCTTCATCAGAAGCATAGCAAGCAGCTCCTCAGGCGTGAAACTTCGTCTTCTATCTATCTCAGTGTCTATTGCGATCACCGGTAGACTGTGACTGTCACTTTCCTTACCGCTTAAGACGCGGAAAGGCCACCATTGCATTGCTTCCTGTAGAGCCGAGTCGTCGTAATAGCGGCCGATAACCCGCTTCAACTCGAAAGTCGAATTCTCAGCATGGTTTTCGCCTTCTAGAAGCGCTCTGCTGCCCACGAAGCGCTGTGTGTCAGTGAAGCCGACGTACGCAGGGCTCCGTCGAACATTGCGCTCGTCCGGAATCACGCTCACTTTACCGTCTTGCCACACGGCAACGGAAGTATGACTCGTACCCACGTCGATTCCAATGGCGGGAGTACTTGCCAACCCGTCCTTGCCCATCATTCGCAATGCTCCCAGGCCCGCTAGGTACCTAATCGTCGTCGACAGATATTGTTGCCTATCTTCGACAAGAAGATGAAGAAGAAGATGAAGAAGAAGATGAAGAAGAAGATGAAGAAGAAGAGAAAGAAGAAACCCTTCTGAAGGAGACAGTAAGTCAACAACAAGACTGAATGGTTCTGCACTCCTACCAACTGGCACTTCACTTAGCAGGTCTGTCTGTAGCCATCGTACTAGTAGTAGCAGTACTTCACATACCAGTTCTGGCCAAGGTAGTAGTAGTAGTACTACTAGTTAGCAGTAGAGAAGAAGAAGAAGAAGAAGAAGAAGAAGAAGAAGACCCCTGGCACGAGGTCTAATACTTAGCATGACAGTTCTGCCCGTAGTAGTAGAAGTGTCCGAGCAGTGCCGGTAGAATGAGTATCTCTAGCGCAGCACTCGTGAGAGCAATAGTAGGAGCAGAGAATATAGAGAAGAAACGCAGCACACATGTAGCGACATCTCAGAGAGGAAGAAGCAGATGAAGGCTACGAGTGACGTTCGACAGAGACACCATTACACAGGCCCACCTCTAGGTAAAATCTCGGCATTTTCACAGAAACGACGACCAAGTTTGACACTGTCCGGCCGCGACAACCAATTTTTCAAGACATTCACGAGCTTCAACAACTGAATCATCAGGATCGTCGCATATACTTCAAACATATGCGACTATCGTGTTTTTATCAAGGCAAACCGGCGACCCAACCCAAGGGGTCTTCCCTTGGGCACGAATCAACACATCACACTGTGGCCGCGAGATTTTCATCGGATGGTAGGGACCCGTGCATACTCGAAACCAGAACTCCACCGCCCCAAGTGCGGCACGGTCCCCCATGGCCATTCAGAAAATACTCGGGCATGACGACTAAAAGCGACTACTTCGTCCCTCGGGACATCCGTTAAAATTGGAACGATACAGAGAAGATAAGCATGGCCCCTGCGCAAGGATGACACGCATAAATCGAGAGATGGTCCAAATTAAAAAAAAAANAAAAAAAAAAAAAAAAAAAAAAAAAAAAAAACTGGAGATAATCAACTCGAGAATGTATAGTCCTCGAGGGCCTCTTCGATGGCTACTCGAGTCAACTGTGGACGGACAGGGATAGTAAGTAGAAAGCGCCCACGCCAAAGCCATCTCGATATTGGGCACCCAAAGCTCGGCCGTTTGATACTATCGGCCCCAGCGTCGTCAGCCTGGTTGAAAGGCGTCGTGGCCGCATCTCCCTTCGCTTGTTTATACCGGTTCAGGAGCTTGGCAGTGTTTTTGTGCCTTGTTTTTACCGGTTCATGAACTAGGCATGGTATTTGTTCCAGATTCACGAGCCGGTAGGGCCCTGCTTTTTGAAAATACGGTTCGTGGGCGTCATTCTATCCTTCAGAGGTGCCAACCCCAGCCTCTTCCACATCCAAAAAAATGCGGTGCTGTTTATGTACCAGATTTATGATCTGGTAGGGGGCCCTTCGAGAGACTGTAGTACCCCACATGGAAAACGTTGGGCTGGTAGTACCAAACGGCGGAACTTTGGGCCGCCAAGACCGAAAAGGTTTTGGCATGGGCTCTTTCTACCAATTATCCTGCTCTTGTCCGTGTAAGGCTGTGTAAGGCTGTGTAAGCTAAGGTGGATGATGCTTCAGCCGAAGTCCCCTAAACAATTCAATTTCATGTAGAATAGTCGTAGTATTACGGGGAACCCCAAACATTTATTCCTTGGTGTTCCAGAGCTCCACAGGCAGAATCCAGCTGCCAAATCTCTGAAATCAGCTGTGACTGTGTGATCCGGGATCTGTCTGCTTGGCAAGCTGGTGATGAGCCGTAGCGACCATACAAACAGCCGACCGAGCCTTTTTCGGGGCCTCCCAGGGCACCCCTCAAGAAATTGAAGGTCATGTGGGTTGCGGGTGGCGAGGAGCATCCCCCCAGAGAGAGAAAAAAAAAAAAGATTAAAAAAAAAAAAAGATATTGATTGATTGATTGATTGACCATTGCTTGCGCCGATGCACGCGGCCGTCTCTGCCCCTGTGCGCTCCCTGTCTTTGTCTCTCTCACTGTGCGATCTTGCGCACAAGAGAGAGAGAGGAGGGGGGGAGGGTGTGCTCTCATGTGTGTGTGATAGAGAGAGAGAGAGGGTGTGTGTGTGTGTGTGTATGTGAGTGTGTGTGTGTGTGTGTCTTCGTGTGTGTGTGTATGCGTGTGTGTGTATGCTTGTGTGTGTATGTGTGTGTGTATGTGTGAATGTGTGTGTCTGTGTGTCTGTGTGTCTGTGTCTGTGTGTCTGTGTGTGGGTGTGCATGTGCATGTACGTGTGTGTGTGTGTATGCGTATGCTTATGTGTGTGTGTGTGCGAGTGTCTTTCTCTCTCACGTGCACGCGCATAGAGAAAGAGAGCGGCCAGACACACGACCGAACATACCAGGTCTTTTTTTATGGATCCAACCAATTATCAATCAATCAATCAACCAATCAATCAATCAATCAATCAATCAATCAATCAATCAATCAAAGAATCAATCACCCCACACAATCACCACCAGCTCGCTGTGTTGCCCAGCTTCGCTATTCACCTCACAGTTCCCAACTTCCCATAGCCTGATAGTCAATCCTCTCAATCGCGCTAACTCCAAAAAATAGATTCAAGAGGCATAACTCCACACTTCCTAGTTTAATAGCAAAGAATGTATGCACAAGATAAAAATAATTAAAAGAGCCGCAGAGAGGAACTGCCTACGAGTTGCGCACCTGAACCGTGGCATGGGGAACTTAGTCAAGCTCCATGCTTCGTCCTCGGTTGCATCTTCTCTACCAATAAAAAAAAAAGAAGTTTGAATGTGCATAAGTGCAAGAAAGTGACAGGAGGGGAGAAAAGGTGGTTGTGGTCGGCGATTAAGAATGGGAAGAATGTCGGGTTTGGAGGGTCTTGGCGGTCGTTCCTGTTCGGTCGCGAACATTCAGGTTCGGTCACTGAACCCGAACACGATGCTACACAAATTTTAATAAAATAATTTTCAAAGAGATGAGGGGAAAAAGAACGATTAGAATTCTAAAAACAAACAAGTCAATTTTATTCAACCTCCGACTGTTCAGAAACATGTAGACATGCAAATCTTAGTTCATCACACTTTTAGTGACCTTGTATGCCTTCCTACCATATTTATCAACGATTGTCCTAGTTGTGGTGTTTGTTGTATGAACTGCTAGTTATGATTGTGACCAAGGGGTTTTGTCATATCATCAGTAGATATATGATCACCATCCGCCCCCCTACCTTTGGAAGGTCCTCTAGACCCCACTCTGCTCACTTCATAATCTTTTTTGTTGCATTATTGTTATTGAAACTATTTTTCAACATTATTTGTTATATACCACTCTATAAATGTTAGGACTTTTGCCACCATTGTTGGGCGCATCGGTCCAGGACCGCGGGACCCTCTCGGCCGCGTCACGCAGCAGTTGGACCAACCTCGTCACGGACACTCAAATGGAGCTTCCTTAGGCCGCTCCGACCGAGTGCGCCAACCATACCTCTCGCGAGCCCCTACGACAGGATAGGGCCTACGCGAGGCACGACTTACCTCCACCTTACGGGAGTTGTCACCTCCCTTCGGTGGGTGTATCCTTGCCGAGCTACGAGTCCACAGTACGAAAGTTAATCAGTTGCAATGGCAGAGGTGGACCAACCGAGGGCATTTCTCGTTCGCTGTAGCATAAGGGGTACGCGCGGTAATACACCTATCGGACCCGCACGCGAACCGACATCTTGGGGGGCTGAAGTCCCAAACGCGGCTCGTCGTCGGTCGACTAGGACGCATCCCACACACCACACGCACACCGCTTTACACCACGCGCACACCGCTTTACGAACACAAAAAAATTCACACAAACACACACACACATCGAACAACGCAACAACACTCCTAGTCCCTTCAGTAGTCATCCCATAACTTTCCTACACGGAGATCGAACAAGCGTCGCGCGCGAGACCTAGTATAAAACCGCGCGCATGTAGGGCTAGCTCATATCGGCTCGCAATGCAAGCGTACGCAAGCGGTCGCAATGATGGTGTACTATGTAGTACCCATACTCATGCGGTCCTCGTTAATCTCGAGGGTCGCATTCGACACTCAAGAGTCGGCTGACACGCGCCTTGAGGGTTAATCTCTCGACGCTGGACAACCGCCAAGCGCGGTTGAAGACCACATACCCTCTTCTACACTCTGTGAAGAGTGGGTGGTACACAGGTCCATACCTGTGGTGGCAGTCGTTTCTTACTGCCCTGGAGATGAACCCCACTCCAGGCCCTGGCGTAAGTCAAGGGGTTTGACTTTGACGACTGCCACGGACTATAACGTCCAACTATAAAGGTTAACAAGCAAAATCATCTAATAAATTATTAAACATCCCACCACTTATATATATCAAGTCAGACATCGAGATAACAACGAAAGAAGGGGAAACATAGACCCATCGGGTATGAAGATCGTGCCACACATGGTTGTCATTCTCAGTGCCTCCAAGGTGTGGCCCATATACCAAGCTCCAAAATACTAACCTGCATAAAACATAGGCACATACAATAGCCACATTGCCATACACAAATTTTGTCAACTTTACTGTTCCCTGTATCTCCCACCACGCCTCACACACTCAAATTTTAGTCAGGCCTAGCTTAGCCAAGATATACCTAGCTTATATAAGGCGTAAAGTCAGGCCACCCAAACTTATGGGACATGCTTAGCTTAGCTAAGATATACACAAAACAGAGGGCACGACAACTTTTCTCTTCTTAGGGCATATGACTAGGTCATTCTAGTCGCCCTAAACTGTTTAAGATATCCAAGTTATATATATTTGTCTTCCCTTTGTTTTCTAAGACTGCATAGGACTGAACTAACTTGAGTTCAGCCTGCCCCAACTTACCACCAGTCTTATTCTTAGTTTTACTCTCTTCAGGCTGTGATAGGCTATAGTCAGACCACCTAAACTTATAGAACAGTCTGATTAGCTCGTTCATAGATAGGATAATAATAAAATATAGCCATGTTCCTATCTATGTCATGAAATCTATGTGATGAAATCTATGCATTTCGACTTGGTTTTGTGTGAAGCTTCTCTATCTATGTGATGAAATCTATGCATGGGATGT